TGAATGAATTGTTTGATAATGATAACAAATTACATTGAGAAAAAAAGGTTCTGGTTAAGAGCTTTAAAAGCAAGTAAGCAACACATCCACTTGCGTAATAAAAAAAACTTACAGAATATTTCGAAGAATTGACATCAGAATAACTTACAAACTGCTGAAAAACGTTAGACAAACGCTGGTGCATCCGAAAGACTTCAGGTATCATTACTATTAGCATGTAGAAAATTTTACATAAACGAGACCAGAAACAGAAAAACACTCGAATAAAATGACAAAATTCGAAGACGAAAAGTTTCCGTGCAGGTCGTAGCGCCATCGATGACAATTATTTACAACTCAATAAAACACATCAGACTTTATAAACGTTGCTGTTTTGACAAAAGAAGAAAATATTGCAAAAAAGCAAAACTAAAAGGAAGTGCAACAATTCATAGTTCGACAATTATTTTCGTGAACAGAGACAAGGCACGGAATGTTCAACTATCAAAAAGAGGGGAGACCTTTGGTGATGAATGATAGATGAACAGCGTGAACTTGAAAAAATATTGAGTTTTAATACCAAATTTTATTTATTTGAAATTATTTTGTTTATGTACCATACAAGTCATTAATATTTATACTTCCATATTTTCAACCATATTATTTGTTCTATAAGTTTTTCTATTTATTTAATAACTAAATAAACCAGTCACGTGATTTAAGCCTTCTTTTGGCGATTCTTCAAATTAGTGTATACTGCATACTAGTCATATAACGTAATGGAAATTCTTTGACATTGTTGAAAAGATATGGCTTTATCTGTCTCTTTAAACTGAATAACATGGTTCACTGTCATTTTGAAACTGTGAACAGATGAAATGCAATGTTCAGCGTCATCACATCTTGAACCTCGGATTCTTCAGTTCGTAGCCATATGCTCAGTACTACACCATACCTGGGCCACTTATTTGTATAAGGAGAGTTAGGAATACTAGTTACCATAATTGAAACATGGAATTTATGAAAGTAATATCATTACTTTTGAAAGGTTCTGATAGTGATAGGATTTCTATTCCTTGCCATTTGTTGTGTCGTTGTTCTTCGGTTGACGAGTTCTTTTAAGCTATCTGGTGAAAATAATTCAACGTCCAGTCCAGGTAAGAAAATTACTTTATTTCTTTGATAGATTGTTTAGGCAGAGTATTCATGATGAAACTTTGTAGAATGGACGGCAACTGCCTGTTGTAGAGACACAAATGTAGAGGTTTGTTTGTAATTAAGCACAAAGCTACACAATGGGCTATCTGTGCTCTGCCCACCACGGGTATCGAAACCCGGATTCTAGCGTTGTAAGTCCGCAGACATACCGCTGTGCCAGTGGGGGGCCAAGTGTAGAGGACGACGTTTCGAAAGTCTTCTGTCTTTCGTCTTTATTTCTTTCTTGAACGTTTCTACAAAGTTGAACAATTCTACTGTGCCGTAAGTTTCTGTAGGCTTATGTTATAAATGACGTTAATTAACGTAAAACAAATCAACTTGTATAAAGTAACTGCGATAGCTAACACATTGACTGGTTCACTCTCTATCTTGAAAATCAGTCTTCACACATACAACTATCTTGTATTTATAATATAGGTTTGAATGTGCTAGAGCACTTTACATCATTTACATCACTTTGCTCCTACCCCTGGAGAAATTTCTGTGGACGCTCATGAGTCATGGTTCGAGTTATTCTTAAACGTGTCTTAAATAAATTTCGATCACTTTTCTTTGAAGATCTATGACCAGTAAATTGGCACTGTTGTTGTTATTTTTAGCACAAAACTACACAATAGCCTCTCTGCGCTCTGTCCATCGCAAGGAATCGAGCCTCGGATTTCAGCGTTGTACCTCCGTAAACTCACCGTTAACCCACTTGCAGACAATTCGTGTTGGTTGTTCGGAAATATTGTTTAATAACCTAAATATAAAAAAAGTTATTAAGATAGGTTTTTGTGTGTTTTTTTCAAATGGTAACAAAAAAATCTTTGACTACTAGCGATATAATGCACGTTAAGCATAAACTAGTTAAATGTATAATTATAAGAGTATCGTTTTATATTTTTAAACAAAGAACTTTAGTCTGAATGTCTAATTTAACACAGCAGTTCATAATTTGTTCAAGAGATGGCACTATACTCGAGTCCATGAAAAATTAATACATATGATGCCAGCTCGTTCGTTTACTTCAATTAATGGGGACGATAAACATTAGATAAAAAACAAAGCCTGCACATAATAATTACAAAAGATAGCTAAAAATAAACCAAAATAAATCAAATTGCCAAAAATTATGTATTGATTTATCAAGATATTTGACTGATTTCTAAAAGTTAGTTAATTGTGTAGCTTAGAGTAATAAAAATTTATGTTTTATAAGATCAATACCGCGAAACAATGGAATATTGACCCTTAAGTTTAAGAAGCTTTTGCTTTCTTTACAGAACATTCCTTTGGTTTGAATGGATTTAATACCAAACATAAGTTTTGACTGATACAGATTTATAGGCTACGCATAAACATTTAACGATCTATGCTAGTGTTATAGCATTTTCATATTTCTTTGTTAGTACCATGAAACGAAACCTTTGAATTTGTAAATTGCTTGTCATTTGCAGATATTATTATTGTAATAAAAAATTGTAGTTATAAAGATTACGATTAAAATTAGAGTAAAATAATTTCGGCCACCATCATTATTGTTTTTTTTAACCACGATCGATAGCTATAAAACAAACGGAGAGAGCATAAACTGTATAATCCATGCATACAAGCAAACTTAGTAATAAATGTGTATTTTCAAATATTTTTGCAACAGTTATAGAAAATAAATTTATTTAACCTGGGGTAAGAAAATGGATTGTTTTAATTCTATTTGTGAAATAAATTAAATCGCAATAAATATAATTTTAATTGTTCAAATATATGGTAAATATTATAATATTTTATAATTGTTGTAAATGAAAATGTATTTAAAATGTGTTGTGAGGGAGCTGTAGAGCATGATGGACGAAATGTTTTTGAGCATTGAGACAGACAAATTAGAAATATTTGTTGTTGCACCTTGTAGGTTAAAACGTTTATCTCAATAAGATAAGTATTTTTTTCCCTATTATTAAAATTTACAATAGTTAGGTTAGTTAAATTCGTTAAGACTGAACAGTCAGGTTTTATTGCTGCAGGTACAGCTAAGCTTTAGGTAATGACATTAGGCTTAATTATACTAGTTAGTAGCTAACGTAATTAGATCGTTAAGATTAACTTATTCAGTCACTCAGTGTTTTTTTTTTAGAGAGGCAGTACTAATAGTTACAGCATACAAAATACTAAATCAGGGAGATAGGAAATGAGGGGAATGACTGGATTGACAGGAAGATAGTCTTTTCCCATTATTACTGAAGGGGAGTACGTGTGCCATAAAACGGTTTAAGCTTACAACAATGGAAGTTCCAAGCACAGAAGCAGATTGATACCCGTTAACGACAATAATAGTTCAATAAATGTAAAGTGTGGAAACGTTTTTTTAACTAATCTAAACGTATTGATGTTTGTATTTACAGATCAGATAATAATGTTTTTTAACTTGCACACATATTAAAGGTAGATTAACTCCCAGAAATGGCAAACTAACGTGTAATATGCACTAACTTTGGGGGGGGGGGTGTATGTAAAAAAAAACGATTATGTTTATATAGTTATAGAGCTGCTGATTATGGTATTTAACATTTTTCTACATAGTCTACATCCTTCTGATGAAGAATTAGCAGTTTATGGCTTGAAATAGTCGCATGGCCCCAGACCACTGTAGTATTAGCATACTTTGCATGCTGATTGTGCTTCGCATAATGCATGTTGGCTTTTGATCTCACAGATTAGAAACCCCTTTTCAAACATTCTGCGTACGGGCATGAGCTTGACGTTCGTAATTTCAGGTTAAGCTTAACTAACAATATAATGGAGTTCAGGGTTAATTTACAAGCGTTACCATCAACAACAACTCCTCGTTTTATAGATTATTTTGATAACTTAAACGTAACGACTTTCGGAATAAAAGATTAGAACATATGGCCTCCATTCTTCGAAAGAACTGCGCCGGTAGCATGACGAATAGCTGGTTCGCTATTCACTTCTGAATAAGAGTAAAATTAATTCAGATACATAATGATAAAAATGAAATCGAATAAACGGTCTACAATAGAATAAACAAACAATATTGTGATACTTATCCTAAAAATCTAGTTTTCTAATGGCTTAAGTAAAATCGATAATAATTACTGTTCACCTGCTTAATTTTAGTTCACTCCAAATAGTGGTTGTTCATGAAAACTGACATAAATAGCGCATATTATGGGTATCGTATCCCAGCTAACCTGATGAGCTTTGGTATTGAACAAAAGGTTTTATCGGCACTGGATATAGCAGTTGTAACGTGGTTGACGTAGTATAACGTTCTCCTATACTTTCACTCATAAGTTATTAGCGCCGACAGTGTAATTAGCAAGCGTGGGAGTCTCAATTTTAAAGCATACGTGGTTGAAAGTGTGAAGCGCGAATTTTTGCGTTGAGGTAGTTTCGAACCTGTATAGAAAAGAGGATTTAGGTAATTAATAGGGTAAAGAATGGATTGTTTGATTCATATTTGTGGAATAAATTAAACCGCAGTAACATTTCGTGGTATGTTACATCTATTTATAACAATATGCCACTGGTTTGAAGAGAAATTAAATACGAGTATATTGTACTAAGAATAAAACACCCTTTTCGCATTACACAAGCATCTTTTTTTTTTCATCATATATACCAATTGCATAATCACTAGACAATCGTGTACATTTTCACAGTTAGAACTGATTGATTAAGATAAAAGTAACATGACCATTTATAAAAGAAAATTTTTATTTGTTATTGGTTTACTCCGCATATCTTTTGAAAATAATGTTTTATATTTAATATTACTATGTATATATATATATATATATCATTTCAAATACCATATCAACTTAAGAATTTGTCTCGAAAACGTATTAAATATTTTCTTATGGTACTGTTATAACTCTCAGATACAATTGCATAACGGTTTACTCTGATCATTGTAAAAACACATAGGTTTATGGGTCTGAGGGAAAACCCCTTTCCCAGCCTCATCCGAAAAGTGTTGACTACTGTTGTAGTGAAGTAACGAAAGCTGTTACAAATTAATTACATTAAAACGTACAATATATAAAATACACAAATAACTAACTTTTCTTTTACAACAATATTAACATATTATAATCTTGACTATGTATTTGAACAACTTGAAATAAATGCTTTACAAAAAATACTATAATTTACATACAAAACGTTAAACCAGTGTATCATGTAATACCGATAACGCCTCTGTAGACCTTATATATATATATATTTATTCCTTGTTCTGAAATTGATCCACGAGTATGGAGTCAAAAATCTAGAAAATATGTAATATTTATATCGTATATTAATATTTATCACCTAAAAATACTTTGGTCTTTCAGTAAATCGAATTTACATATTGTGGTACCATGACCGACAACCAGCACATAACATTTCAGGCAATAATCTTGTTTGTGCAAACTACGATGAATTCTCTAAGCAACTTTGTTATAATTGTGATCTGGATATACGATTTTGATTAGATTCGCTAGGATGTTAATTTTTTTTTTACTTTCGAAATCCACATAGATAGTCGTATAGTTTCCCATTAGCATCTTTTCACAATTGACTGTAACCCCTTGAAGGTTTTTCTTTACATTTTAGAATTTGAATACGTTGTTTTTGAATGACTTATTTGGTTGATGAGCCCCCCCCCCCCCTCCAGTAGGTCTGACGAGTTGTAACGCTAGAAACCGAGTTTCAATACCCGTTGTGGGCATAGCACAGACAGCGCACTGTGTAGCTTTGTGCCTAATAAAAACAAAAACAAAAAACTTGTTATAGTAATTTGTTAGTGAATTTCACACTTACTTTATAACCTTTTACAGTATAATATGCACCATGAAAATTGCATGTGGATTAAGTGTTTGGTAAGTTCCAAAGTAATAGGAATGGTTTGTTAAATATTCTGTTAATAGTTTTCACAACCCACTGTTCATAATTCCAGCTGCTTTGTAGACTTTTCCTACAATATAACTCAAGTTTCTGGCTATTATATTGAAGTTAGAATATCTAGAAGCAAGTTTAAAAATTGCCTTCTGTGACAATCAAAACCCACTGACTTCCTGGGCCGGTAGTTTTAAGATTGACATTTAAAGGTCATAAATGATGCTGATAGAAATGGTCGTTTTGCACGTTTGATTTCTGATAGTTGTGAAATTTTCTGATGATAGATTTGTTAGTCTGGAAACAGTGATTGGCGTTGATGACAAAATATAAAATGGGGTGGTATTAATAAAGAACAAATACTTACAGATTTTGCTTCATTTCTTTGACTTTAAAATGTTTTGCTCTTATTGTTTTCTTAAAACAACATTACTTTGTTTGACAATGAAGATAAGCCATTAGTGAACCGTCAACCATACAAACACGTAATCACAGTCTTTTGATCATCATGGTCTTTTTTTCTATCTAACATACCCTCACGACCTCTGGCTCGCCTGTTCATTACTAAGAGAGAAAGTATAGTTTATTTGTTGACATACAGCTTACAGTAGACATATGTGAAATTGGTATATGATAACACATGGCTTATCAAACTAGCACAGGTAATACATGGTAACAAATGCTTATGCTTGAATTGGAACAGGTTGGTTTAGGAAACAAGCACAGGTAGTATATAGTAACACATGTTTATACTTAAACTGGAACAGGTTGGCTTAGGAAACAAGCACAGGTAGTATATAGTAACACATGTTAGTGCTTAAACTAGAACAGGTTGGTTTAGGAAACAAGCATAGGTAGTATATAGTAACACATGTTAGTGCTTAAACTAGAACAGGTTGGTTTAGGAAACAAGCATAGGTAGTATATAGTAATTCATGTTTATGCTTGAACTGGAACAGGTTGGTTTAGGAAACAAGCATAGGTAGTATATAGTAATTCATGTTTATGCTTGAACTGGAACAGGTTGGTTTAGGAAAGAAGCGCAGGCTAGGTGTTGTTTTTTCATTATTTTTTTGTTGTTGTACTCACGGACAACAAAACCTTTCAGATTTGGACAAAGGCTAATCCTGCTCTTCTACATACACTGTTTAGCCAACGATAACTAGGTCTGTCGACAATCTTTATCTTTTTTCAACGGTATCATGTTCTTTGAATTAAGAAGATGTTTTATTTTGTTACAATATATTCTAAAGATTGTTAACTGTGGTCATTTCACGCCAGAGGCTGATTTAAAGATTTCGTAATGAATTTTGCTTTTATAATTGCCAAGATCATACTCAGCTCCCTTGAATTTACCCAGAAAGTATGATTGTAGAATATAATAAGTTTTTGGCTATCAAGGGGCAGTTTTTTTCCCTAGAAACTTGTTCGTTTAGTATATTAGTGAAATCCTCGCGATTGTTATTGGTCATTTTCTTTTCATTTGGAAGTGCTTCACATTGAACAGCAATAAAGTTTGCGACATGATTTTAAATGTAGATACTTAGGTTATTTTCAAAGTATTTTCTAAATGCAGAATTCCAGTATTGTCGAAGATAAGTATAAAAATCTTCAAAGATATCCGTGCTAGTAGTTTCCAATAATTCTTCCACGTTGACTTTAAGAATCTTAACGCCTTTTTATTGACCCTCACATTCTTTTACATACTGTTCTACATCTTTAAGGATACGATTAAGGCACGGATCGTTGTAAAGCTTGCTGGTTAGGGCACTGGACTCGCAATCTGCGACTCCGGTTTCGATTCCCGTCACATAACATGTTCACCTTTTCAGCGGTGGGGCGTTATAACGTAACGTAAAGAATAGGTCAAGAGTTTATGGTATTGAATACTAGTCCTGATGAAGCAAAAATAGCGAAACGTTGGCTAAAATAAAAAGTTTTATGTTATTATCTGAAGAGTGAAGTTAATTTTCTTTTTTTAACTTTGCTTTATCTTCTATCTCAAAAGTGTAGATTTTTTTTTGAAACAAGATTAATATTGCTTGTCTTTAGACTTCACAGGGAAACCATCGATGAAACGTATATATATATATATATTTTGGATTTATGCGTTTTTACTTCTGGTTTTCAAATCACAACGGTACTTCCATGTGCTTGAAAAGTCCTAATTAAATTTTAATACAGCTTTCTACGGATATATACAGGTATTGGACAAAAAATAGAAACACTCAGTGGCGCAAGCAGACCTCATGAGTCACGTGGGGCAAGATTACTTGGAAGTCCCTAACCACTGTTGTTAACTGTTGTGTGGATCCCAAGGGGCTGGGAGGAGGGACATGTGGACTTGATCTAACTAGCAGGATGATAGTTGCGCCTATTGAAGTAGATTAACAACGTGTGGTTCAATCTTTGGCCGTTAGAGCTGCTTCAGTTTTTTATACTAGAGTATTTGCATGTTATTCTTACATTTACCAAATGAGACTTATGGGATAATCGCTATGCTGTAATAACCTTTGATATTGTTCTCCTTACAAAGCGAAGAAGTCATGCAGTTTGGGTCACTAAAGATCCTTTTATTCAGACTTCTAAGTTCTGTCTTCTTGACAATTAACGTGGCATAGAGCTTACATATATTTATATAATACAGCTTGCTTGGTTTGCTTTATTATAAGGGCAAAGCTAAGCTATGGGCTATTTGCGCTGTATCCACCTCAGATATCGAGCCCCGATTTTTAGCGTATAGGCCCTGAAGCTTATCGCTTGAGCCACTGGGGGCATATAATACAAATTACCTTTCTGGGAGGACATTTTAATAATTTAATCAATCAGCTGAGGCTATGGCCAGTTTAACATCTGGAGAAGAATGAACATATCTTACAATAGGTGTTCTTTTTTTTCCAACTCGTACACTGTTTTCTTATGAGTTTTGTCTACTCTTTATAAGATATATTTTTACATCTACATTTATTTTTTCTTAAAGTTAAGAAATAATTATCTAGCTTTATTTGAACAAAGCAAACTACTAAAAACAAGCCATTTAATTCTCTTTTAGCTGTTGCTAGATCTTTTATAGTATATACATATATTATTCTGTGACAGAACTTTTAATTTATTTTTAGTACCAAATCATACTCTATAGGTGAACATCCTGGCATAGTTGGTTACCAAAATGGCTTCAGTTAGACATAACCTCAAGACCTTTTATTTGGCAGACAGATGACGGTAATTTTGAGTAAAATCAGAAACAAAGAAGGCTCGAAGCCAGAACGTTAATAATGTTTACCAAAAAAAAGAAGCATATTCCTCCTTTCCAAAAATTAACGTTTTTGGAAAAAAAGGACAAATATGCATTAAAAGTTTTTAAATGAAGGTAGAGGTCAAGTTATTATTGTATTCAAGATGAAAGAAATGCTAAAGTTTTTTTGGCAAAATTAATAATTTCTAGTTGTTTCTAAGAGCGTCAAGTATTCTGAAATCCATCAAACAGCTGATAGGCTATTTATATCTAATTTAAAAAAAAGACGTTCTTACGTCAAGGACTACCCAAAATAAACGTGGTATAACAGGGCTGCAGTTAACGAAGGCTCTCTAAAAGACTGGAATTTGCGACGCAATTTCACCACCACCATCATTGAAGTACAACGATACTACGTACTTTCGTTTTGTTACACATTCTTTGAAGCATTACAAGTTAGGAACACTTTATCAAGAGGTTTATCTTAGCCCATTTTTAAATACTATTCACTTTTAAAGTGAAAGTTTCTTAATTTACTTCGTTAGTCGCTTACTGTTCAAAAAGTTCATCTTTTACTGTTCTCGTAGACAGCTTATTGGCGAGCTTATTTGAGTGTAGTAATCCACCATAATTACTACACTGTAACAAAGAAACTGATGTCGGTTGGACCAACATTAGCCTCAATACCAGTTAATCCTATTGGTATTATGGCTGGAAAAGCTGTAACCAAAGTGGTGAAAAGGTGTCAGTACGCTAAGGAAGAACAAAACCTTGGTAAGTATTGATAATATATATTGTAGCAGAAATGATGACAAAGAAACATCTATAATCGTATAAGCTGTTATATAGAAATATTATATTATAATAAGTCACAAAAAATAATTATTAATTTCTTCTTATTCTAAACTTTAAATGTGACATCAAATAACACCATTTGTTAAGACAAAATTTTATCTTTAATGTGTGTGTGTGTGTGTGCTTTTTGCAAGGATTAAGATAAAAACAATACCACGTCCTATTTACTTAATTTGCATGCTATGCATTTTGATATATATTATAACTATAGTTCTCGGTATAAGTAATATATGACAGATTAAAAGAAGGTTAATAAAGATTGAAAATATATAGAACATAGAATAATAACTTAGAAGTTAAACAAATAGAACAGTTCCAAGTGTTATGGTATTAAGGTTAACACAGTATTTATATTTTTCTTCTATGAACTGTGCCGCTGATGAAAACGTGTTACATGAGAATTGCATGTGACTGTCAAATTTCATTGGTGAAGCACTGTTGTAGAAAGTGAAACTTTGTGTGTAGTACTTCAGTATTCAATGTGTTATTAAATGGCTGCGTATATCTCTTGGATAACCAATAGATTCCAGCTTGTAGATGCTTTTGGTATAGTAAAATAAACACAAAAGAACAAATGTCATAAACATGAAAAACAGCTCTCAGAAAAACATGTTGTGTTGTTATTTTATAAAACTTTAAAGAACAGATGTTATAAACATGAAAAACAGCTCTCAGAAAAACATGTTGTGTTGTTATTTTATAAAACTTTAAAGAACAGATGTTATAAACATGAAAAACAGCTCTCAGAAAAACATGTTGTGTTGTTATTTTATAAAACTTTAAAGAACAGATGTTATAAACATGAAAAACAGCTCTCAGAAAAACATGTGATTTTATAAAACTGCTTATTTTGCACGTTTGTATAATGTAATTAATGAACCCTATTAGAAAACCATGCAACATGTGACACTTTAGAGCGTGAGTTTCATACCTTTAATTAAGTGCACTACAGACGTGGACTAAAACATGAATGATCCTTGGGCAGTTTTATGGGTCAAGCTTTATCTTACAACAAATCGTTAAAGAAGTATTCTCGAACACATTGCCTTTCCTAACTCTTTACATATATACTTTTTATGAGATGTTGATTTAATCACTCTGTTCTTCCTAGTCTATATTTAATAACCACTATCATTACCGAATTCAACGCGTACTTAAGACGTGACAAGCTTTTAATTGTGCACAAGATAGTGATTAAAATGTATGGTTGTTTATGTAGTGCAAAGCAATTGTTCTTATCTTGAAACTATAAAGAACAAAGAAGTAATTGAACTACGATCACGGTCTAACTTACATGAACACGTTTTTGTTAATGATTTTTTTTCGAAGTTTTTAATTCTTAGTTTCTTTATGGCGAAAAAGAAATTATGTTTTTCAAATTACTTATTATTCATGTTCAGTTGTGTAAATTGGAGCAGTTTTGTGTCGCTAGCCTCTGCTTGGTGAGGTAAACATAAACACGCACTTATGTTCGAAGGTTTTAACCCTTTTTTTTTTTTTTACTGATGTAAAAACTCCTGGTGAAGTGGCATGAGCCAAGAGTTTCTGATACTTTGCCAAACAAAGACGTCTCATGAATCCAAACCTACGACTGCATCTAAATTCCAAAATAATGTTACTCGTTCATTCATCTGATTTATCTATATGTTGGATCTGTCGTTAAACTGGACAGTGGTTATAGCAAATTTGCATTAATATAACAATGTGTCTTGTTAGTTTGTATTTTTAGCTGTAAAAAACAAAAGTAAGAAAACCATGTATGTATTTAAATGTTAAAAATATACTAATTTTGAATCTCGACTATATTTTATAATAACGTGATCACGAATAATAATGTGATCAATACCGATAAAACCTGGAGCATATGATCATGACTCAGTTAGCTAGAATTCAATGGGATATCAGCCAATACTTAGCTTAGTAGAATATAAAGAAAACACAAGTTAATTTAGGAAACTACGCAGTTCACGCTTACACCAGGTTAGAACATCTACGTTTTAATATAGTCTATTTCTGTTTCACACATGCAAACGTTGCAAGTTTCGAAAGAGCCCTAATTTTTTAACAGGTTTATAGTTTGCTAACAATAATTAAATTTGTTTGCAAAACTGACGCGTGTTTTGTGTCAATTTTTGAATTTACTTCGACTCGGTTGAACTTTTATGTTTTGTTAGCTGATGATATACTGTAAACAGTTTGGGTATCACACGTACACTATAATAATTCCCAATTTACGTTTTAATCTTTTACTATTCTTAATTGTTTTAATAAACAGCTGAACTCTAATTTTATTTGTTGATTTTGCCTTTAATGATTTTATTTCATGTTAATCTAGGAAAGAAAAACATATTTTTTACATGGAGTACCATGTTATATTACTTATTATATACATAGTAAAGTTGCATCAAATTGGGCGATTCAGAACCGATGTATCTCATGTTTGCATGTTATAAATAACATGTTGACATATTTTAAATGCATGCTGTTTCTCGTGATTTCGATATTCATTACATTCTGTTCTTCCAGCATTAATATATTTCTAATAAAACTAAAATCCTTCCTTTTTGACCAAACTGTTCTTTATCCCTAGACATCTGTGCTCTACTTATTGCTACTTCTGAAAGTTGAATCGTCTCTCCTATAGAATCTTCTCCTGTTATCCTGTTCTTTCGTGGCTCCCCTAGAACACTTAATTATAAAAGCGATATATATATTCGAGGGTAGAAAAATTTTTGGAAGATCATGCGAGTTTTACGAAGAATCTTTCAAATGAAAGAAAATTAATATTTTTTGGTGGAGATTGAGAGGAGAGAAACTCGGTTTTTTTAATGTAAAAAGTGTATAGAAAAGGAACCGACACTTAACCGTTGTAATTTTTGTAAGTCCATTAATGAAGTTGTATCGGAATAAGAAAAGAATATTCGAGAACGCTTAGAACTTGAAACAGCAAGAACAGAAATTTGAAGCATTACAAGCTAAAGCAGAAAATCAAAAACTGAAACATGTAGAAATCCACTGTAAGGTTATTGAAAACTTTTCACAGCGAAGAAATCTTTTAAATTTTGACTGAACATTGGGAGTTGTATTAAGAAGAAGAAAGGCGGAGCCAAGGAATTTGGCTGAGAGAAGAAAAAGGTTTTGGTAACAAAGAGAAGAGGATACGAAATATCAAGAAAAGGGGAAAATAAGACAATCCAAGAAGAAGAAAAATGGAAATGAATTTGGATTTACCAATAGAAGGTTCCAAATTTCCCAAAGAAATTTTGAAAAAGTTTGTTTATGGAATTAAGGAGAAAATTCTAAATCAAATACATCATCCCTGCTTTTCGAAATGATACGATAATAGAATAATATCCTATTGGACACAAGAAGAACACAAACGTATAGGAATAAAGAACAGTTAGTTAAAAAGAAAGGATTCGAGTCTTCTTGTAAATATTCATGTTGAAATGAAATCTTTTTGAATTATATTATATATATATATATAATACACATACTAGACACGTAGGGATACCCATTAATGTTTTGTTTATCAATTATGTTGTTATTCATTACTCTGTAACTGATTTTTTTGGAATTATATATATATATATATATGTATGTATATATGCTACACACGTATAGAAACCAACTAATGTTTTGTTTGTGGATTCCAGATCTTTCGGAATGTCAACTTATGTCCATTCCCGATGCTGTATACCACTTAATGAGAAATACGGTCATTCTTGCTTGTGATCTTTCTTCCAATGTGTTGAGGAAGATTCCTCCAAAATTTGCTATCAAATTCACATATATCACAGGTGGGACATTGTATTTAAAGCAGTAAAGAAAAGAACGTTGGTAACAGAGTCATTTAAATAATCATTAATACACATCGTGAGTTCCTTAATATCACTTATAAAAAGGCTAGACTTTATACTCTGACCGCTTCTATTATCAACAGAATGCAATTCACCTACCCACTTAAGTAAGTGTTTCCATCTATCTAGCTATCCATCCATATTAGTGGAAAACTTTTATCTCTGCACAATAATTTAATACTATAAACGTTTTGATTTGATTTCAGACCTCAACTTGGCAAATAACAGACTGAGTTCTCTTCCAGAAGAATTACGCGACCTCAGCAATTTGAAACGATTAGATATTTCGCAAAATGATTATATGTTATTTCCAAAGGTGGTCTTCAAACTACCGAACCTTATTTTTTTGAACGCGCAAAAAAATCACATTACAAGTAAGTAGTGATTTCAGATATCATTAATTATATTTTGCAAAGACAAAAATGTTATTGTTATTATTATACATAGTTTCCATAAATCATTAAGACTACCTTCAAACTTAAGCTTGAATAGTGCTAACTATTGAATCTAGCGTTTTTTTTAAATATTTTAACACTAATGAATGAAGTCTAACGAAACGTTTTTTATATAGAGTATTATAAATAATTATGAAACGTACAGGTGATACGCATACTGGAGTCAACGACAATGAATAATTTCATTGTACATTTGCAGTATTTGCTTTAAACAGAGCATTACGCCTTGTTTTTATGCTTCTGTGAATTTATCAACGTATGACAGCAAAATATTATTTCAAGTGTCCTGTATTAATTCCCACAATTCAGCCAAATTATTTGATGGCTGTTTGACCCTCACAGTTTCTTTAGAAGTCAATACAGAGTGTTTAAAGGAAGGCTAGATAAATATTTGAATGATGAGGGCTGGCTTTGAGTGTTTTATTTTAGTGCCTAATATGTTGATTGGAATTGTCTAGATGGACCAATAGACCCATTCTTCACCTTACGTTATATGTATATATATGCATAATATTCATATTATGACCTTGTGCAGGCCAAACCATGGTTGTAAGTGTTTTATCGGCCTCCTTTTTCTTCTAAGTATCGTTTCATCACATTTACAGCATTATTGGGATCACTATTTTTCTCCAGAGAGAATGACATAATGGTTTGTTTGTTTGTTTTTTGAATTTCGCGCAAAGCTACACGAGGGCTATCTGCGCTAGCCGTCGCTAAGTTAGCAGTGTAAGACCAGAGGGAAGGCAGCTAGTCATCACCATCCGCCGTCAACTCTTGGACTACTCTTTTACCAACGAATAGTGGGATTGACCGTCACATTATAACGCCCCCACGGCTGAAAGGGTGAGCATATTTGGTTGGACGGGGATTCGAACCCGCGACCCTCAGATTGCGAGTCGAGTGCTCTCTAACCACCTGGCCATGCCGGCCGGACATAATGGACAACGATGTGTTTGTACATGTCATCAGTCAGGGTGCCATCAATTTTGTAAAGACCCCCAACACCAATGGCTGGGATTTAGGCCAAAATTGTGTTGTTCTCTCAGCATGCTTCACTGTAGATTTTGTTCGTTTACAGTGAGACTGTTCTCGTCTCTACAATTGGATAAACTACATCTTTGAGTGTTGCCGAACAGTTTCGATTTGTATTCATTTGTAAATATCACTCTCCCCAGCTTTGCTCATTCCATTGTTTGAAATGTGATCAGCCTTTTGGTTTGATTTTCTCTACAAAGCGACGGTTTCTGAGCACCTACATATCCATTTAATCCATTTCTTGCTAGTTTGTAATTTACTGCTTTGGAGGCAACAATCACATCTGTATTTACAAGTTACAGTTAAATAATAGACCAGATATGTACTGGATTTTCGTGTATCATATAAAAGAGCAGACCCTTGTTATTTAACATCACTTTTGAAAGAGCTAAGTGTGCGCCTCAGAGGTTAGTGTTCTGGACTATGGAGCTAAGGTTCCTTGGTTCGCGTCCCATTATTGCCCCCCCTCCCCTTCGAAATACGTTCTGCACTTCGAGATTGTGGGTGCTTTCTAAAAGTGACCGTCAAATCTTACGGTTTGGTCTGTTAATAGTACAAGAATTAGTGCTAGGTGGTGTGGACAAGCTGCCTTCACTCTAGTTTATTACTTCACAGCATGTAGCTCTCGTGTAGCTTTGTGTGAAATATAACAAACAAACACTTTGAAGAGTTTGAGCTTTCTACTATGACAACGTCGTTATAAACAGTTCTTAGTTTCATGTACTCACTTCCGAGTTTCCATACAGCTCCTATTGAAAAAATGAAATCTCATCTTATATTGTCGGACATGGAGTAGCTTTCTCTAGCCAGAACTTTGGCATCTACACGTTTGTTATGTGGCACTCTGTTCTGGGAACCATGAATACATTCACCAAACGAATGCTGGGAATAGTATTATTGCCTTGTTTTTTATGGGCATTATTCTGGTTGGTTGGATAGCAGTCAATCACAGTTTAAAGTATCAACAAGTGACTGTACTCGATTGCAGCTCGTTTTCGTACAATAGAGCCATCTCCATAGTATTTGCATTTCATACCTATTTTATTCACCGTTTCCATAATTATTCCAAATACTGTACAAAAAAAAGTTACAAAATCACACTTGTTTTCGTAGAGCACATACTTTTTTTGTTTACTCGAAAACTTTGAGGCCCGACGTGGCCTGGTAATTAGGGTGCTCGACTCGCAATCTGAGGATCGCGGGTTCAGATCCCCGTCACCGAATATGTTCGTTATAATGTTACTGTCAATCCTTCTATTAGTTGATAAAAGAGTATCCCAAGAGTTGGCGATGGGTGGCGTTGACTGCCCTCTAGTCTATCACTACTAAATTAGGGACGGCTAGCGCAGATAGCCCTCGTGTAGCTTTTCGCGAAATTCAAAACAAACCAAACTCGAAAACTTTGATTTTTTAGTACTAACTCTTTGAGTCTAACCACAAAATCAACTCACTTTTATCCTAGCTGAAAGATATTTATGATCGAGTTAAAAATCAAAATGTTTTATTGCTCATTTTTCTTTTCATCATTATTGTAAATATTATTTACTTTAAATCTGTAATGGTTATTTGACCAACATCCATGGATCACTAACTATCAAATTTTTATTATGTTACTTTATTATGTTACACAATACTACAGGATTGGGTACGTTATATTAAAACGATTTGAACGTGTAAATCAGGAAGTCACTTGACAACCACAGCCGATATAAAGTCGCGATGGAAAGACATGTATCGGAACTATATGTTGACATTGTTAGGCGTTTTGCAGATAGTGTGGTCAACATTTAGATTATAGAAATGTTCTCAGATTGGAATAAAGAATTTTAAAGACGGAGATATCCCTCATAATTAATCCCACTGGAAAGCAAAGGAATATGGATCAACGTGGGTGTATAAGACCATCTATTAATAGACCTGAAACAATCGGAACCTCAACCGTAATAAACAAAGTGCATCATCTTGTAATAGGTGAAAATCCACAAACACTAAGGTGAATTGCGTAAGTCGTCTTCGTTCCCCAGACAACATTATACGTAACATAATCAGGAAAGGTCTATGTCTTGAAAGGAGGCCAATCGGGTATGGATTCATCAAGTGATGGCTCCGAGGCATATCTGCCGTCCATACCTCTAGTAGCTGAAGAATTGAATGGATATTCATGCTATTTCATACAAAGACACTTTGCGATCAGACTGTTGAAATGGGTGCTGGGAGACCATCGTCCTTGTATTCTAGATGGATTATGGAAAGCCAGCATGAATGAGCAGTGTAAGATGGACGTGACAGCCTTTTGATGGAGCTTTTTAAAATGGAAAGTGTAGGGCTATTGTCAAGTTATATGGTCGTTCGGTAGAGCATGACTGAATTTAGCAACATGGACTGTAATGATGTGGTGAGACTCCAAAATAGTTTTATATACGTTCTCAATTTTTTGTATTGACAAACACACTGATCATGAAATTTAAGTACTTCGCAATGTAGTTGATCAGAATTTTCTTAAAATTTCTTTGATCACATCTTATGAAAATTATTGACATATCCAACGGCGCATTTTGCTATGTATGAAGATTGTTAATAAATATATCTAGAAACCATTTGAATGCTTGTTTGTTTAAACGTTTGAAAGCTATATCATGGGCTATCTGTGCAGACATACCGTTGTGCCGCTGGGGGGGGGGGGGCTTATTTGAATGAAAACTATTACGGGAAACTAATGCCAAATATGAGAAGATAATAAAATATAACTTTTCTACGGCATTTCTGAGACGTCATTTTCATAGATTTATTTCAACAAAAAGGATTTTTGTGCAGTTGATGATGTCACAATTTGTATTATTCAGGTAACGCCATTCTTTAACAGCTTTTAAGAATAATTCAGTATGAAGACAATTATAAGTATAATTCGTCGACACTGACAACCATCCAAAGGAAATAAGAATCATAAGAAGTTAACTTGAACAAAAACATCAATAGCACCGTTAGTTGTTGCAACAAAATTGTGTTTGTCTGTTTTTAATTTCGCGCAAATCTAGACGAGGGCTATCTGCGCTAGCCATCCCTAATTTATCAGTGTAAGACCAGAGGGAAGGCAGCTGGTCATCACCACCCACCGCCAACTCTTGGGCTACTCTTTTACCAACGAATAGTGGGATTGACTGTCACTTTATAACGCCTCCACTGCTGAAAGGGCGAGCATGTTTGGTGGGACAGGGATTTGAACCCACGATCCTCAGATTGCGATTCGAGCACCCTAACCACTTGGCCATGCATGAGTGACAGTTAAATCTCAATGTACAATTATAGTAGCCTACGATGGCAGCGGGTGGTGTTGACCAGCTGTCCCTACTTCAAAATTAGGGGCGGCTTGTGCAGATAGCCCTTGAGTAGTCTTTGCACGAAATTCAGAAGAAGAAAAAATTCATGTGCAAACAAAAATATGTTTTCGTACATGTTTGGTAATAACTATGCTGACAAGTTAAGTATTTGCCTTGTCTGTAGAAGTGTATTTATGTGAACATTATTTGAATAAACAGGTTTAGTCGTAATTCTGTAATATTCTCTAAGCCTACAGTGAAAATGTGGCCACTTTGATAACCAACATTATTAATGCAGAACAATATTGCTATGTGTGAAAATAACAAGATTATATATTTTTTATAGGCATTGACGTTGAAAAACTGAAATCCATCCGTTCATTAAGAGAAGTGAACTTTGAAGATAACCCTCTGACAAATGTATCTCGTGAACAACTCAAATCCATGGAGTCTGTTGTGGTGACTGTTCACGTTAACCCACCCGTGGACGAAGATTCCGAGGATGATATTATGAATTTGGAGAACGTTTCGCCATCTGGTGGTGAAAACAGGCAGTAGGTTCTTTCATTTTTGAAAGAGAAACAAGATAAATGAAAATATGTTTATTTTCCTTTTATTTAAAATATTTTTATAACTATTCAACTTTACGTGCTAAACGCGTTTTAGATAATTTTCATAGCATGTCATTGTACTGCTGATTAGAGGCAAGTAACTTTAGCGTCATATATGTTGTTTTTTCTTAACATAACTGTACGGAAAAACATATCATATATGTATATATGCGAGTATTTGTTGACAGTCGGTGTATTAGAAAGGTAAAAAATGCAAATATTAATATATTTATGCTCAAATCGAGTATTTATTGGAGTGATACCTCAATGATAAAATTTAAAACAAGTCATCACGGCTTAGGTTGATACACGATATCGCAATTATTCGAATAAAATATTACAGATATAATTTATGTTCCGAATATTTAGTTGAAATTAATTAGCTACTTATAATACCACAGAATAAACGTTTTGTAACGTAATTATGAAATATTATATTTTACTGCAAAGGAATCGATTTCATTACTTAGCATAATTTATGGTGAACTAGCAACTTAAATAAAATAAAGCACCCCCCCCCCTCCCCACGGTGGTTCAGGGGGAAGTGTGAGGCCTTATAACGCTGAAATTTAGGTTTCGATACCCACGATGGGCAGAGCACACAGATAGTCCATTGTGTAGCTTTGAGCTTAACAATAAACAAACAACCATAAAACGAAAGGCAGTGAGCAGAAAATTATATGGTGCATATTAAAATACATATATATATAATGCCAACTGTATTAACTAAATTAGGAAGTTTTTTGTTTTTTTTGTATGAATTTAAATGTGTGTCCTGTTTGGTAGAACAGTTTGATGATAACAGTTTTGTATATAAGAAATGTCTCTTTGAATGAAAGTGAGAAATAAAGATATAAAAATGTCTCGTTTTGTTTATTCACAGATTTAGGAAATTAATTTTACGCACACTCATAATGTTCTCACTTATAAAACTTCTCCAAACGAACTTTCAACTTCAGATGACTCCCATTGTTATTATTACTGTGAAGCTGCAACTTTTTAAATTAGTAAATATGTGTAAATCAACAGTAAATATGTCTATCATAATTGTAAAAACTTCAGTCTGTTTATAATTATTACTTTTTAAATTAGTAAATATGTGTAAATCAACAGTAAATATGTCTATCATAATTGTAAAAACTTCAGTCTGTGTATAATTATTACTTTTTAAATTAGTAAATATGTGTAAATCAACAGTAAATATGTCTATCATAATTGTAAAAACTTCAGTCTGTTTATAATTATTACTTTTCCTACTCTATTCCGGCCCTGCATGGTCAGGTGGTTAGGGCGCTCGACTGTGTGTCGCGGATTCGAATCCCCGTCACACCAAACATGCTCGCCCTTTCAGCCGTGGGGGCGTTATAATGTGACGGCCAATCCCACTATTCGTTGGTAAAAATAGTAGCCCAAGAGTTGGCGGTGGGTGGTGATGACTAGCCGCCTTCTCTCCAGTCTTTCACTGCTAAATTAGGGACGGCTAGCGCAGATAGTCCTCATATAGCTTTGCGCGAAATATATAACAAGGACACCTATTCTATTTTAAGGAAAAATGGAATTACCTCAGTCAGTTTATTACCATTCCTATTTCTGAACAACGACAGTTAACTTTCTTACTATTTATTTCTAGTTTCATTTTTTATATTTATAACAAGTATGAAAGATGTACGATGCACAAGTTAAAAGAAATAAAATATTAATATTTTAGCAAGGACCAAAAAGTAAGTAGTTGTATGAAAAGTGGAACTTATTCAAAAAAAGTTGCATGTTTTCATCTTGTTTTGTTTTTTGCTATTCGTTGACGTCAATAGATAGCAACAGTAATAGCTGAGAGTTATACATACCCCACGTGGTTTATCACGAACCAATTGAATGATCTCATGCTGTGTGATAATGTATGGCGGTATCCATAGCAGTTTAACTCTGTTGTTTGAAACGCTGCTAGAAACGCAGACTGGTTACAGATAACTCGGTGGTAATAATCTGTTGCTAAACGTTACTTTATGGCAAACGCTACCGTTTATTTCAATCCTGATTTTTTTCAATTATCGTAAAAAATCAGACGTTCTTGTGTTTTGCAAAACATTTTCGAACACTGTATTTACATAATGAGTAATCCAGCTAGTAACATACCGGAAAACTTTACTCATAAACGACCAATAAGTAGCAGAAGTGCATGGGACATGGAGGATGAAGATTTGGAAGTTCTGGGAACAGGTGACCCCTGTTACGATGAGTTAAACGAAGCTGATGTTATCCCCGAAAAAGAAAGAAGAGGATGTTGGCATGATTTGGTAAATAGTATTGGAGGTGAGATCATCGTCAAGTTTACGCATACATTTTTTTTGTCAAATATTAGTTTGCCTGACATCACGTAGAGATTATGTTTCCAAAGCCCTCTAGTTGGCTCAGTGATAAGTCTGAGGGCTTGTGACGCTATAAAATCGGGTTTTGATACCGTGGTGGGCTCAGCACAGAGAGCCCATTGTGTAGCTTTGTATTTAACAACAAACAGACATACAAAACGTATCAAAAATTTAGAAAATAATATATATAAATGTTGTGCATTCATAAATTCACAAACATAACGTACATTTCCAGATAAAGTTTGAAGCAAATACTGCGATCAAACTAAAAAAAATATATCTTTATTTTTTACCTATAATCGTATCTATTTCAAAATGGTGTGGGTATGTGTGTATTCTAAGCAAGTCGGTAGTTAAAAACAAGTTGGAGATAAAAGTATTGTATATTAGTATACAACACTTATGCGTCAAGGATTTATAACGTTTAATATTGCTTATAGAAGCAAATTTTTGTAATTAGTGTAGAATGTATACATTTTACTGGATAAAAAAATTATCTGTTGTATGAGTTACTTAGTTAAAATACAACACTTTGTTATATGAATTGTTTGGTTTAGGGGTACGAACAACACTTTGTTATATTAATTGTGTGGTTTAGGGGTACGAACAACACTTTGTTATATGAATTGTTTGGTTTAAGGGTACGAGATTATTTTTGTGTAAATTACATGATTCAAAGAAAATTTTGTTTAGCATTTTGGAATATTTAGAAGCATCTTAATTTATAAATTAAAATCAATAAAAATGGTTAAAATATGACGCAGTGAAGAAACATACTAAAAGAGAGGGCGGCGTTTCTTCTGTTAAACATAGATATTGATATTAATAGCTGCAAATACGTGTTAACTTAAGTTAGTCTCTTTCTTGGTTGATTTTCCGACATATAACCAGAATATCATCTTACATAAAAAAATTGAATAGATTTCATCCAAAAACCGAAAAATAGACTTTAATTCAACTGCCCACTACGGTTAATTATGGTGTCACCAATTTAATAACGTCCCTTTTATGAAATCCATACAGATTGTTTCAGGATATATTACTTCTGATAATCAACCATGCGATACCTTCTGGAGTTCTACGCTATTGAAAATATTTAATTTTGCCACTGTTAATACTAATTTTCAGATCGGTTCAGTATTGATTACTTCTGATAATAAACCATACGCTATCTTCTGGAGTTCTACTCTGTTGAAAATATTTAATTTTGCCGCTGTTAATACTAATTTTACAGATCAGTTCAGGATATATTACTTCGGATAATCAACCATGCGCTACCTTCTGGAGTTCTACGCTGTTAAAAATATTTAATTTTGCCACTGTTAATACTAATTTTACAGATCAGTTCAGGATATATTACTTCGGATAATCAACCATGCTCTACCTTCTGGAGTTCTACGCTGTTAAAAATATTTAATTTTGCCACTGTTAATACTAATTTTACAGATCGGTTCAGGATATATTACTTCCGATAATCAACCATGCGCTACCTTCTGGAGTTCTACGCTGTTAAAAATATTTAATTTTGCCATTGTTAATACTAATTTTACAGATCGGTTCAGGATATATTACTTCTGATAATCAACCATGCGCTACCTTCTCAAGTTTACTCTATTGAAACTATTTTACTTTGCCTCTATTAATACTAATTTTCTATTTATTGGCTTTAATTCTGGACCAACCCAAAGTGTATGGATAGAGAATTCAGTTTCTGCTCATTCTACTAGATTATCTGTGATAGAAATTAAAATCTCTGATGTTAATGACAATAGTTCAAAAGGTTTCTTATTTAACGACATCAAAACGGTTCATCCAACAGTTCGATTTATAAAGAAAGTGGATCAGAATAACACATTAATTTTTTGAGTTTTAGTTCCTGGAAATAACGATAGTTTTCAGCAAAAATTTATTGGAAACCCACCCATATTAATTTGATTTTTTGTTGAGTTTCAACTAATACTCCCATCCAAAAATTAGTCATTGTTAAAAGTTTCTTTTACGAAACTATATCTATTTGTAACAACAATGATTGATTAAAGAAAAAATATATTAAATCTTATTTTGCCCTCTGTAATAGAATCCCTGAATATTTGATCGACAAAATAATTAAGTTGTTTATGCATAATCGTTAACAAGACAATTCTCAAACCAAAATAAACCGATTTATTGTTCCATTTCTTGCATACCTTACGTTTAGAGTACTCACTTTATTTGTTCTAATATCTATACGTTGTCATAGTGATGCTATTTGCAACTATTAATATACCCTTCTGCCGTTAGGTGTTACCTGATGATATCCATGTTAAATTTCAAGAAACTTCACCGTTTCTTTTACTTATTTTATTGTGGTATGTAAATTACCCGGTTGAAAAGAACCACACTTTGTTGTGTAAATTATCGAGTTCAAAGGAAACGTTACTTTGCTGAACGAATGTCCCAGTTCAAAGGAAACATTACTAAACATGAATTGTTTAGTTGAAAGGAACCACAATTTGTTGTGTAAATTCCCACCTCAAAGGAAACTTTAATTTCTTGTATGAATTACTCAGTTAAAAAGAAACATATTTTAAAGGAAACGTTACTTCTCCGTATGAATTATTGCATTAAAAAGAAACACACTTTGTTATGTAAATTATCCAACTCAAAGAAAACATTTTTTTGCTCTATGAGTTTCATAGTTCAAAGGAGAAACTTTTCTGTATGGAATAATTGGTTCTAAATAATAAGACATTTCTGTGTGGACCACCTTTGTTGAGAAAGTTATGCTTTTTTGTATGGCGTACTTGAGTCAAAGGAAAGAACGTTTTATTTTATAAATTATCTGGGTTGAAGGAAATATAACTGACATACGAATTACTTAGTCAAAGGAAATAAAATTTTACGGTTTGAATTGCGTGGAGTAAAGAACACGACAACTTGCTTTATGGATTACTTAGTTCAAAATAATATATGAATCATGTGGAAAAATAGTCAAATATCTGAAGACCAAAAAGTATAAGAACAAGAAAACGAGGAACCTATAAGAAGCAATCTTTGTTTTCCTCGCGTGTGAATCTAAATTATTATATAAGAATAAACTTCGTTGTAATGCAACTGGTTGTAACAGTGTTTGAGTCTCTTCCGTGAAAATGTACGATACAGTATTTATTTATAACACACATATCTTTTACAGGGTTCAGAACTCTTGTTTTACTTAACCAACTCAAGAAAAACGAACAGTAAAAACTTTATATAATACATTTCTGCGACACATTGTTCTTTCGTTTACTGAATTTCGTAACAGTCTCTCGTGATAATTTTTTAGTCTCATCATGAACGAGAGAGGATAATTTTACAACTTTTTAGGTATAATTACGAAGTTAATACTGGATTCGGAAATAGAGGGTCCGGAAATTACGATAACAAATTTACTAAGATCTATTTCTGAATGACTTGGGTCCGTGTTGCTCTAGTGTGATACTACAGACATATTGTAATGTACTTCCGTTGGTCTCAAAGGAGGAAATCTTGTAGACGCTGTAATGAAACATGGTTCAAGGCTCCTGTCTCTGAAACATAAGTAGACAATTTTGTAATGTAATTTCCGAACACCTTACACGATATCAACAACACACGTATGGTATAGTATATGATATTGATATAAGTACAAGCGTACATAAAACTGTTATTGGAGTTCGTATAATTACTGTTTCTTAACATATTTTGAAGTACTTTTCCTTTCAGCTCGGAAGTCACGAACCTCTTACTTGTAGGTTAAATGTAATGCACACATATGCGAGATATGTTTAATTTGGCCTAATGGGCATTTTTTTAGACGTTGTTTCTTGTATTTCACACAGATTTGGGAACTGTTTTGAATACTTCCTACAAGTCGAAACATAAAAGTAGTAATGAGCTCGTTCGTAGAACGAGAAAGTACATTGATTGAAATATCTTATATAGGTTTGGACTTTCAGTTATAAACCTATAAAAAATGAACCAATGAATTAACAACACCATGCTGTGAAATAGGTTGCGTCGAACACACAGATAACTAACGGTTTACTGTAGACTTAATTAACAGTTTATTTGTTTTGATGCTACTAGGGGGAGCTACTGTTGAAATAAAAGTTAAAGGACTTCAAAATTATTAATAGAGAGAGACAAATGATTTTATTAATAAAAGTAATTATGTTTTCTATTTAAAATTCGTGTGAGTTTCTTCTTTTTCACCATAGAAGCCAAATACGTTTACAATAAATGACGCTTATTTTTCAAGTGCTTTACGTATTAGCTTTTAAGTTAATAAACAATAATCTCATGAAAAATTTTCATGGTGCTGGAACATTCAAAGAAGACAAGGGTTGCCAAGTAGTTAGTGTGCCGGATTGTGGATCTCCGGATTCAATGTTCGCGCTCCGCACTTTGGGCTCACGAGTGCGTTTTAAAGGAGATGGTCAAGTACCACTATTCAGTGAGACAAAAGTAGCCTAAAAGTCGGTGGTGGGTGCTGTTCTCTAGCTGTCGTCTTCCTAGTATATAAGTTCAGAATTATGGACGACTAAAACAGAAACTCCTTAAATGGGGCGTTGCGCGAATATTCAAAAATAAATAAACACTTAATGCAGCGATATGCCTTTCAAATACCCAAACCACACTTTTGCTCACATTTCGCAGATGATGTTGCAATCTGGAAGAGTGCCCCAAACCCAGCAACATACAACTACAATAAGTGGAGAATTAAAATATATGCACACAAAACACGAGTCATATTATTTACAAAACAAGCAAATTAATACCACGGTTATATCTAGACGGGACTCGCTTACAGGTGCCCCCCAGTGGCACAGCGGTATGTCTGCAAACTTACAACGCTAGAATCCGGGTTTCGATACCCGTAGTGGGCAGAGCACAGATAGCCCATTGTGTAACTTTGTGCTTAACTTCAAACAAACAAACAAACTC